CTTAGCGCCAGTCACCGGCTCGGGCACCGCGGGCACGGCCGCGCAGCCGGGGCTGGCTCCCCGAGCGGACGCGTCGCTTTTGGGATCGCACCTCGTGCTAAATTAGCCGGAGGGTGCACGTCGTTCCTGTTTTGCCCTGCCCGAGCCTCCGGTAGGAGGTGCCGTGCCTACCGGCCCCCTGTTTGCAGGTTTGCCTACCTGTGAAATGGGTCCGCTGCACCGGGGAGCGGTGTTGGTGCAGGGGGAAGGGGCTTTGTACAGGGACGCGTCTGAAAAGCGCTTCTCTGCGAGGAAGTGGGGGGGTTTAATGCTAATCTGGAAAATTGGAGACTAATTCAGCTCTGTTCTACACCTTTGTATAAAATTCATTTTGGCATCTGCAGAGAACAAGGCTACTCATAGAAATTGGATTTTTTAAGTGCTTTTTAGTTTGGGTTTTTGTTTTTGCCTGTTTTTCGTTTTTTGTTTTGTTTTGTTTTTTTACAGTAAATATGTATTTGGGCAATGAAGGTAATCAGGAGGCCAGAGAAAATACAGAAAGGTGTCTTAGTGTCCACAGTGTTGTCAGGCGTTTGGGACACTACTGCTGCAAAATCAAAGCTGATAATAAGCCACGGGAGTGTAAATTTTCTGTGTATAGAATGTTCCTGGACCCTTTACAGAAAGTTATTTAGAAGTAAGAGAGTTTTCTGAGTACTGCTCCAACAATGAGTGTTGCTCACATACACACAAGGCCCAGAGCTGGGCCTGTCATCAGTGCAGCTGTAAGGATATGACAGGATTCACTGGATCTACTCTTAGGGATATGTACTACTTCTCTGGGACTGAAAATGCACCTTTCACTGAAATGGTGTGGTCATTTTGCCTACAGCATCCCAGAGAGGTACAAACAAAACTGTGCAAGGTTCTCTCTTCCTTCTTCTGCAGGAAACACTTTCCTTTATTGATTTTTGCAAATATTTCAGTGTTAACTGAGATAAATCCAACATCTTCCTGATTTGGATGTAAATTTGCTGAATAAATGCAAAGAATGTCTATTGTTGCTCTCAAGAAGAGTTGTTAATATGCACAATTTTCTTCTGACAGTTTTTTTGCAAGACTACATTTCTGTACCAGTAACTCCGAAGAAACACATTTTTTCATCCAAAATTGAAAAAAGAATCCTCTACATTTGGTTCATAAGATTACGTAAAGTTGCAAATAAAACACACCTTACTCTGTTCAAAACAGAGGCAAATGACACCTCTTTTTTTTTTCTAGGTTTAAAGATCCGTCTTCCACAACTCTGCATATATAAACCCCACTAAAATCGGTGTGTGCATGCACTCCACTGAGGTCTCTTCATTGTTAATGTTTAAAATTTAGCTAGAAATAAGCCACAACTCTACTATTTTGCTTTATTTCCTTAGCATCTGTAGCCTGGGGGACTTCTGATGTGTGAGGGTTCTTTACAATATATTCTTTCCAAAGCCCAAAAGAAAATCACTCTTCTACATTTCAGCTTAGATATCATATGCATTAAATGAGAAGTAGCAGACTTCTTCCTTACATCACCCTTCCAACTTCATTAATTAATGATGTCTCTGAGCTTATTTATAGTAATTGCATCAACTGACAGAGTAATTGTAAACAGTGTAACTGCATGTTCTGGTGATTTATTTTTTTTTACTTACACAAATTATATAGGTAATTTAATAAAAGTAATTATCTAAGTGGTAAATACAAGTTGAATTACTTGATTTCCTGCACCTCCACTACAAACATAAACCTCAAGATGAAGTTTAAAAGCATGTATAGAAAGTTTGGAGAATCCTGGTTCAA